GAAGAGTTGATCTAACCTTTGTCGATCGGTTAGGTCTCTTCGTTTAAGAACCGAGCGTTTTAAGATTTCGTAAGGATCGGAAACATCACTAGTAAATATACTAGGTGTTACGTACCTGTTGAATTCGCGCGGTAGTGCCTTGACTACTGCGAGGAATTGTGCACGTGTGTCGATCACGCCGTGCTCGGAGAAGTCGGCTTCTGTGTAGCAAAACCAGGCTTCGATGTTGTCGGGCCAGAAAGGCATCAGTTGAAACGAAGGTGGGGACAAAGTCCTAAGCTTGAGTACTTTAGGTGTCTGTTCAGTCATGATGAAGTATGATAATGACGAGGGGAAAAAATATATATATATCTAAGAAGAAACACGAAAAAAATCGCAATGTTTAAAAAAATAAAAAAATAAGGCAATGATATATAAAAATCCCAAAAAGGAACAGACTCACAGTTGCAATTAGGTGTACCAGATCACGTCGGTTTCACCAATGATGATGTCACAGGTATTCAGTGTTTGACAACGCTTCTACCAGTAACACCTTCTAATGTATTTCGTTCCCACCCAGAGAAATCAAAAGACAGAGTCGAGGAGATCGAAAGAGTATATTTGGCGTTGACCAATATATCGGAATTCTCTGATCTAATCTGGCTAGCGATTGCGGTTGATGTTGAGCACGGCGTTACCACACGTGATCTGGTGCGGGTGCCTGACCGAGCGCCTTCAGCTAGATGAGTCCACTAAAACATATGGTCAGCATCCAATGTCGAAAACTTAGAGTTATTTATTTTGGGGATTAATTTACCGCTACACCCTATTGTATCATTATTTATGTGTTCAAATAAAATAAAAATAATACAAATTTTATCGGATTCCTACTTTGCTAAATTGAGCTTGTAGGTATTTTGTCTAATTGAGCTGAAGGGGATTTGTTTGACTACTTTACATACGTCAAAGCCACACCACTCAATAATTACTACCGCCTGACAGAATTTGGCAGATTGTTATACGCCCATGGATGATTTATCTCACTTGGGAAAAACTCAGCTTGATAAATGATTTGAGGTTATGTAACTTTCTATTTACCCTACAAGTCTAGGCGTCTTGTAGGTGGAAATCCTAATAGTCTTTTGGTAATAGGATGATGTACGATTCAGTATTTTACAATGTCTTACTATCAATTCATAGCAGTTATACGATTATCCCCAAGATAGTGGATCGACCGAACCATAGCAACTGTGGAAGGTGCAAAGAATTTTTCAGGATGATAAATAAAATTTAAGGTTTCATGTTCTGTAACAACAGTGAATTTTTTCCAAGTACCTATGAAGTCATTCAACGACCTAAAACATAGCTAATGCCTCTTGGTGAAAGGTCTAAACGTACTCCAGTAGCCCCGTATGTACCAATACCGAAGTAAGGGATAACACAGTAGACATAGCTGAATTAATTGCATGTGACATCCAATCAGCCACGGAATAGAAAATCATCAATTATATACAATTGGTTTCGTCAATGAATTTGAACAAAACCAGAACAAATAGTGCTGCAGAATAACATGACTGCATTTAATTTCGTGGTTTCTCATCAGCTGTTAACTACCATATATGCAATGAGATTTAGCACTAAGCTAGAATGGAATATGAAACAATTGACATACATGAACTAGAAGAATTAGAATGACAAAGGCCATCAGTAATAACTATATATATGCAAGAACAGGTTAGAGGTCATTTTGGAGTTGGAATTCAAATAACATAAGGGGTGGGTGACGCATCGATCAAACGAGATCAAAAGACAGATAATACAGATTGTGTGATAGTTTTAGAGGTTACGAAAGGTTTACAAAAGATCATTGAAATTAAAAATCAATAATGTGGGCTACGTAAATATTGCATAGGATTTAAGAGTTTACACAAAAGAATTAAGTGAACGAAAACTTCTGAGTGAAGAGATAGTTTTAGTGTACATAAAATACGACCATGTAAACAAAATGAAATGACCATAATAACAAAAAATGATTTACCAAGGTAGTTACAAACTTATTACTGTCTCTTTCTGGATAAATAAATCAGGTTTGAGTTTTATTATTGCTACTGCTTCGGCAAACCGAAGAGACACTGTGTCTTGTTGTTTGCTAATAACTTTAAAGGCTTGTGCAATGTCGGTGGTATTCCTGGGGTCAAGTAAATGCCGAGCGATTACACTCACTAGAGCCACTGTGCCTCTCAGACTCAAGTCCTCTAGAACGTACTCAGAAACGCGAACATGTTCTCATTCCTCTGTACTCTCAATGTGCTTTGGCACGTAAACGAGAACCGCATTATATACATAACTCTTAAATTAAGCAGGCAAACCTGTCCTGCCTTTGTTAAGAACTATTGAAACTATGAATTATCAAAATGACTAATATGGATTGTTACCGTGTTAGTCACTATAACTGAAAGAGATAAGAAATTCCATCATTTATAGTGGAATATTAAGTTGCTACACAGATGAAAAATGTTGTTTAATTCACTTATAAATAGTAATGAGTTCAGTTGTACACTAAGCGAGTGATGAGCAAAAGGCAAATTAGTATTTCAAAAATCTTTGTTTTCCAAATGAAATAAAGATGATACCGTCTGCACTTATACATAACTTCATTATATATCTAGTATCAATACAGGAACTTGAAGGTGACCTTACAACTAATTAACAAATGCATCTTTTCTTGTATTAGAAAGAACTAGACAATAATTACTACTTGAAGAATAATGATATAATTAGAGTGTATCCGTTCAGATAAATAACAGGAAATACAAAACCCGTCATTTCATAAACAAATAACCATTGATATCATTTAAAAATACCTGTCACGGGAACTTTTACATTTGACTTTCCATGCTAAATATATTCATCCAGGTATTAAAATTATAATCCACGGTTAACCTGGTATGGATTTTACTAATGACCATATATTTATGAATTTTTACAACTCAATTTTATTTGATTTACTCTGACCCTAGTCTTCGTAATTATAACTCTGAACACACTATTTAACTCATTCATATAGCATTCTATTGCTTGAAATTTTTACTGGAAACATGGTATCTAACTATTCAAATTTGTATAGAAAAGGAATGTTTATAATACGTTCTGTTACAAAATACTTTCGTCTTTCTAATGAGCAATGTTGTTTAACGTATGTTATTCAATTTATTTATTGTTTATAATGAATGACAATTTTGATGCTCATGAAAGGCATTGAATAGTATCGTATGCATAGTTTATTTTATCTAAAATAGTATTGGACCCGCAGCAGCCATTACATAATTAGTTTTTTAAAGTGAACCTTCATAATTAAATACAATTATATATCATATTCTCGTTAATTAAACTCATCAGAAGTTAGTAAATTCTATGAAGTCATGAGTCCTGTAATATTTATTTAAGAAAAAATTATAGATCTCATTTCGATCAGCCATACATTGTTTTTTTTGTAGTCTGAGACGACTACAACAGACATGCAAACGACCTTCCATGTGTAGAAAGATATCAAGAACATGTACCTAGGTACGATGCAAATACGACTCTATATGACAAGATCGACCAGGAAAAAATAAACCGACAGAATCCCACAACACGCAGTTTTGCATCAGAAAACTTAAAATTGAACTAACAATACTATTCAGTTTGGGAGAACGTAGCTACGGTGAATTGTGAACACATTAGGCTCACAATGACAGTATATGTCTTCATATCTTCATTAAGTCTCATACTAAAAGGCCGTGTGCGACCGGCCTCAAGCAGTTGCCCCTTGGGCTCTGTGGTCACGCTCCCAGGTCGTTAAGACCAACACTAATCCAATTTCCTTTTCAGGTTCCTCAATAAATACCCTTCCACAGTGTGGGCAGCCGGGAAGTGATATCAACCCTCATAGTCGTAACAGCACACGAGGCCAAGTTGGTCACGTTCAAATCCCTCCTACACCTCCAAATAAATCTCTTATCTCCACAACTAACCCTTCTCACATCTCTTTGTCACGGCGCATCGCTAGGGCAAACGATTCGAGTACGTGGAACGCCATTCCTGGTCTCCTGAAACCACGCTCTAAACTACACGTAGGAGCTTTTAACGTACGAACACTTTGCCAAATAGGACAGCAGGCTTCCTTAGCTAAAACTTTAGAATCTCGCGCCATCGATGTGTGCTGCGTCTCCGAAACGCGCATACAGGATCCAAGTAGCGTCATTCATTTGACCTCACCATGCCAAAATAAAGAACCGACTCGATTTACGCTTCGTGTATCTGGAAGCCCTGATTCTGCTTCCCACAGCCTCGTTGGCGTAGGTATAGCATTGAGTTGTAGGGCAGAACTAGCTCTCTTAGAGTGGATCCCAGTAAACAGTCGTTTGTGCGCTGTCCGACTGAACGGAACAGTAAGAATCCGGAAAGATAGGGACACTCGTCGTTGCCTCTTCGTCGTCTCAGCCTATTCTCCCACTGACTGCAGCTCAGATGATGTAAAAGATGAGTTTTACAGAAAGCTTTCGGACCTTCTCCGAAAAGCTAAGCGCTCGGATGTAGTAATAGTGGCTGGTGACTTCAATGTTCAAGTAGGTAAACTAAGTGATAAGGAAAGACACCTAGGTGGATCTTATGGTGTCGTGGCTCAAAGAACAGATAATGGCGACCGTCTGTTACAGCTATGCTCAGATAAATGCCTGTTTCTTGCAAACAATAACTTTTCTACCCTATTAGCTTTACAGATTCAAATACTAAAACCATCAAAGTTCTCTACAAAAGTATCCTCACTAACTAAATTGTTTCGCAGCTTAAGACGATGTCACGGCTGTTTTAATTTGTCTGGATTATGAAATGTTGTATATAATGATCGAGTATGATTGCTGCTTTTGTAGCTAAGAAACTTATCCAAAGGGGAGACTGGTGATCTGGAATTGTCCAACAGCGGTGAACTAGATGTCGAAGATGGCGATGCTCCTGCAATTCATTGTAAACCTATAAGTATGCCAGCAACTGTGTCCAGTGACAAACAAGCGTCTGGTGGGATGATTATTGGTTATGAATGTCGTTTTCGAATTTTGCCACATTTGATTGGTCTCGCTATTGGGCATCGTGGTGCAACTATTCAAGAAGCTCGAGGAATCCCTGGAGTTCGTACGGTGGATCTTCTTTTTGATGGCATAGTCCATGTAGAAGCTGAGGTAATTTTTAGTAATTAATATAAGTTTATCTCAGTTTTCGGCCGTCCGAACTGCAGCGTTCAAGTAATCTAAAGTGAAATGTTTTATTTTTTGAACTAAGGATTTTAGGCACGTTGTAGTTTAATGCTGATCTCAAAAGTTTTGATCCACATATCAGTCGGTAGACTCATCCTCCTTGTCTTTTTTTCTCTTTCCAAATATATTTCACTGGATTATACTCTTTAAATAACATCTTCAAACCCTAATCTTTCTGATTACTGCTCATACTCTTACCGTCTCTACCACTACGGGATTTGAATGGACAATTACATCTCTGTGCTAATGTGGTATAGCAACCCGGACTGATACTGATTAGGAATAAGGAGCTTCAGCTCAACCAGTAGATAGGGTAATTAAACCTGCTAAATTTTCTTCTGGAGTGTGCTGAGAAGATTAGTAACTGCTTTATCGTCGTTAGTCTGGACAATAATGTTGACACTATTAAATCCAGCCTCAAAGTATATATATATATATATATATATATATATATATATATATATATATATATGAAAGAGAGAGAGAAGGAAAAAAGCGTAGTATGATATATTCTGTGGACCATACTTTAGGGTATTATTAGGCTTTTTTGCTAGCGTTGTTCCGACGAACATCAGCCGTGCGAGTTAGTGAAAATTTCGACAAATATTACTCGATCAACAATGTGGTAGATATCAATACTACGGCACTAATTTACTCCATCTGTACGTTGATTGTTCAGTCTAACAGTAGTACCGGACACTTTCTGAAATAAATTTCCAACTAATCAGTTTTTTCATAAGCTTTATATCTGTTTTATCCTATCACTTTTTTGTCGTTCAGACTATTGAAGCATGTCACGCAGTGAGAAATCTTTTGGATTTCACTGAAGTTGAGATTCCAGTCCAACCACGATTAGCAAGCAGACTGATCGGATCAAAAGGCATGAATATTCGCAAATTAGCAGAAGCTGCAGGTGTTCGGCGAGCTAAGCTACTTGATCCTTTCGCTAGAAGACGCAGACTAATGGCTCAACGTCAAAGTCATTGTCCAGTACGTGTTGACTTGGAACGTGGAGGTTCTGTAACAGATGGCGATGCTCATGAAGATACATCAAACGGTGAAGAAACTGACAACGGGAACGAAAAGCTTTCTGTCAATCTGGATGGTTATTTGAATGATGACAAGAACTCCGGTAGTATCGTCGACTTATCCCCTGCTTTCTCTCTTGTTGGTACACGTTCATCTGTTGCGAAAATGCGTCTACTACTTGAATTCCAAGCAGATAATTGGAATGAACTAGATGAATTAGAAGTATGTGATTTTCTTGTATCAACTTAATATTTTCATTCAAAATCAACATCTTGTCCTTTATTTATCTGTTTGTTTACTACTTTAACAGTGTTTCCGTCATTTCATAAAACCAGTCACATGTGAATTGTTTAGGTTATTCATCGCAATTGTATACTACCCCGTTTTTTTTGTAATCTTACTCTACTGTAGGAAGCCCGAAGATCGTTGTTCAGTCAGTTGCGTCAAACCAATCAACTCAATCACCAATCGGATTCTGTATCACCTACTCGCATTTCGAATGGCAGGCCTAGTAGAGGTGGTGGGAATTTCGGGTTTGTATTTATTTTAAAAAATTTTGTAATTTAATCTATATTTTAAGTTTCTTCTGGTTTATGACCGAACTTCATGAATAATGGTATTCTTTATTTCCATACTTTGATTCCAATCAAATATTTATTCTCGTGGCTGTATTTCGTCTTTATTAGCTTAGTAGAAGATTGTACTTTCATAGATTATACAGACTCATATTTTTTATATTTGACAATCCTGTCAGTTGCACTTTTGAATAGTGAACCCCCTTAAAATCCAGTTATTTTTATTACTTTTTCAATCTATAATGTACACTTTTCTCAGTTACTTACTTACTTACGCCTGTTACTCCTCGTGAAGGAGCATAGGCCGCTCACCAGCATTCTCCATCCAACCCTGTCCTGGGCAATCCTTTCTAGCTCCGTCCAGTTGTAATTCATCCTTTTCATATCTGCTTCTATTATCCGACGTAATGTGTTCTTTGGCCTTCCGCTTTTCCGCTTCCCTTCAGGATTCCAAGTTAGGGCTTGCCTCGTGATGCAGTTTGACGATTTGCGTAATGTATGTCCTATCCATTTCCATCGTCTTTTCCTAATTTCTTCTTCAGCTGGAAGTTGGTTTGTTCTCTCCCACAGAAGGCTATTGCTGATGGTATCCGGCCAATGGATGTTGAGTATCTTGCGTAGACAGCTATTTATAGATACTTGTACTTTCTTGATTGTGGTTGTTGTAGTTCTCCAAGTTTCAGCTCCATACAGTAGAACTGCCTTGACGTTCGTATTGAAGATTCTCACTTTGATATTGGTTGAAAGTTGTTTCGAGTTCCATATGTTCTTCAATTGTAGGAATGCGACCCTTGTTTTGCCGATCCTCACCTTTACGTCTGCATCGGATCCTCCTTGTTCATCGATGATGCTTCCCAGGTATGTGAAGGACTACATCTTCCAGAGTTTCGCCATCAAGTGTGATTGGATTGCTGTTTTCCGCTTTGAATTTGAGGACTTTGGTTTTCCCTTTGTGTATGCTGAGGCCTACTGATGCAGAGACTGCTGCTACACTGGCTGCCTTCATCTGCATCTGTTCGCGTGTACGTGATAGGAGGGCTAGGTCATCTGCGAAGTCCAAATCGTCTAATTGATTTTGAGCTGTCCATTGTATTCCATGTTTTCCTTCAGATGTCGAGGTCTTCATAATCCAGTCGACCACCAAAAGAAAGAGGAAGGGAGAGAGTAAACAGCCTTGTCTGACTCCGGTCCTTACTTGGAATGCATCTGTCAGCTGTCCTCCATGCACTACTTTGCACTGTAGTCCGTCGTATGAGTTCCGGATAATATTGACAATCTTCTCAGGAACTCCGTAGTGTCGAAGAAGTTTCCATAATGTCCTCCTATCTACACTGTCGAATGCCTTTTCATAATCAATGAAGTTGATGTATAGTGATGAGTTCCACTCAACTGATTGTTCGACGATGATCCGTAGTGTTGCAATTTGGTCTGTGCACGACCGATCCTTACGGAATCCAGCTTGTTGATCTCGAAGTTAGGCGTCTACTGCATCCTTCATCCGGTTCAGCAACAATCTGTTGAAGACTTTCCCTGGTATTGACAGTAGCACAATGCCTCTATAGTTTTCACATTTGCTCAGATCTCCTTTCTTTGGAATCTTGACGAGGTGTCCTTCTTTCCAGTCCATCGGCACTTGTTCCTCCTCCCAAATCTTTTTGAATAGAAGATAAAGCATGCTTGTGGTTGCTTCGATGTCTGATTTCAGTGCTTCGGCTGGTATGTTGTCGGGTCCTGCTGCTTTCCCGTTCTTGATTTGTCTGACGGCCATTCTAATTTCTTCCGTAGTTGGTGGATTGACATCTATAGGAAGATCTATGTGTGCTGCTTCGATGTCCGGTGGCTTCATTGGAGCCGGCCTATTCAGGAGTTCCTCGAAGTATTCTACCCATCTGTTACGCTGTTGTTGAATTTCGGTGATTTTCCTGCCTTCTTTATCTTTGACCGGCCTCTCTGGTTTACTGTATTTCCCTGCTAGTTTCTTCGTTGTATTGTGAAGCTGTTTCATATTTCCTTCTCTAGCAGCTTTTTCTGCCGTCGTTGCTAGTTCTTCCACGTATTTCTTCTTGTCGGCTCTAATGCTCCTCTTCACTTGTTTGTTTGCTTCTATGTATTCAGCTTGTGCTTGGACTTTCTCTGCTCGTGTTCGGCTGTTGTTAACTGCTGCCTTCTTGTTCTTCCTTTCTTTGATCTTGTCCAGTGTTTCTATAGAGATCCATTCCTTATTATGGTATTTCTTTAGACCGAGAACCTCTTGACACGTTGAAGTTAACGCTTCCTTGATGCCTTTCCAGTTGTCCCCCATAGTAGTTTCTTCTTCTTTCAGTAGATCTTGTAAGGCTTGGAACCTGTTGTTGAGAGCTATCTTGAATTCATTGAGTTTGACAGTATCTCGAAGGAAGGCTGTATTGAACCTTTGTACTGCTGTTTGTCCACTTGTCCAGTTCTTTTTTAGCTTCAGTTTCAAATTGGCTACAACTAGGTGGTGATCTGAAGCTACGTCGGCACCTCTCCTGGTTCTCACATCTTCCATTGTCCTTCGGAATTTTTTGCTGATGCAAATATGATCTATTTGGTTCTCTGTAGTGTGGTCCGGTGAGATCCATGTAGCCTTGTGTATACGCTTGTGTGGAAATATTGTGCCTCCTATGACCAATTTGTTGAATGCACATAGATTTGCAAATCTTTCTCCATTTTCGTTTCTTTCTCCCAGTCCATGTCGTCCCATAATATCTTCATATCCAGTGTTGTCTATTCCGACTTTGGCATTTAGATCTCCCATCAAAATAGTTAGGTCCTTCCTTGGGCATTTCTCAATGATTGACTGCAGCCGCTCGTAGAACTGATCTTTAATTTCGTCGTTGCTATCATTGGTGGGTGCATAACATTGGATAATATTCATTAAGATCCCCTCCTTCTTTGTTTTGAATGATGCTTTGATGATTCTGGATCCGTGAGATTCCCATCGTATAAGTGCATTTCGTGCTACTTTGGACAGCATAAGAGCGACTCCCTGAGTGTGTGGAGCATTGTCCTCTTCGTGACCGGAGTATAACAGCATCTCTCCCGTAGCTAGCCTTTCCTGTCCAGCTTGGGTCCAGTGGGTTTCGCTGATTCCCAGTACTGCTAAGTTGTATCTCCTCATTTCCATTGATATTTGACTGGTCTTCCCGGTTTCCCACACTGTTCGAACGTTCCATGTACCTATAAAAATTTTTGCTCTGGTTGTTAGAAGGGGCATCGGCCTCGTGGCTTCCGAAGGAACTCGGCTTTCACCATGAAGCGTCATAATTCTTCTAAATGAAGACCTTCTAACTCAGGGTAGAGTTAAAATGGTTTGGATTATTTTATCTGGTAAGCGTTTTTTTAGCGAGTTAGTTTTCTACGGGATGGGGACGCTATCCCCATGCCCAACCCTCCTCCTTTACCCGGGCTTGGGGCCGGCAGCAACCCTATAAGAGCTACAGGCGGAGTTAACTGAACCAACGGAGGATTATTATTATTTGGACACATGAATATTGGTACAAGAGAGCGCCAATATATATGCGCCACAAGGAGGAAAATGTAAGACACTGTGAATGCAAGTAGAGGTAATGTGCCGTAATGTTCTTCAAGCAATTACCACTTACTGAAGAGCAGTAAAACTGTACAAACTCGTTAGACATAATCTACATTATGAGCCACATAATCTGTGGTTGAGATTGAGAGTGACAATCATTTAAAGCACCACACCACTATTCTTGAGCTTTTATTGTTTTATACGTATGGAAACCTGAACTCCCACGTCGATAAATCAGAATGATCTGATCCACATGTAAAGGCAAGGATTGGCAAATCAAGGGCAACATTCCTACAACTGAAGAACATATAGAATTCGAAGCAAACTCAAGCAACAAATAAATATATGGATTAGTGTTCAACGTCCGGTTTATCGAAAAAGCACTTGCAATCGTCTTTACTTGAATTTCAATAGATTCTGTCCAATCAGTTGTAAGGAAGCGTTAGTCAAAGCACTATTTTATAGAGTAGAAAAGATACGTACCACCAAGAAACTGGAGGAAGAATTGAGGAACGTTGAGAAATACCTGAGACAACTGCTGCTCACGGAAATTCATCAAAAAGTATAAAAGAAAACCCGAAAACAACAAGACAGATGTGACCACTGTCAATAAAAAAAACCAATATTTATGAATCCGAGCTTCAAAGATGAAACGTCGCAAGCACATTCAACACGAAGCTTATCACTGAGTTAGCAAGCACCTACCCTGAAACCAAACTAGTAATCCTGTATAAACCATGCTTAATAACCCGATCTAAGGTCGACAAGTAACCCTTCGATTATACCATCAATTGTGTCTATAAATTTAAAAGAACTTGTCGAAGCAGCTACATTGGGCGAAAACAGAAGGTATACATTAGATTTTATGAACACGTCACGAAAAACCTTCAAACAACAGAAAGAACCACAATCACTAAACATCTATTGAACATAGGAACAATCAGTGTGTTTTATTCCTTTGTGGAGATTCGAATTCATTTAGGTCATCAAAATTTGCAATCACTAGACGGCATTTTGGCTCGTATCAGTGAAACATAGTACTATAAGCAGGTAGGAAATAACAATAAATGCGAGTTCTGTTTACCCCAAACACTTGCATGTATAAAACAAATGTGTAAGTTAAAACACATTGCATTACACTCTTATCATCACTTTGAATTCTGATGTTAGTCAAGAATTCAATGCGCCCTATGATTAAAATTGTCCAGATAAGCAGATGGGATTCGAAATGACAAGTTAATTCCTATCTCACATCTACACTAAGGTTCACACAAGATTCAGAAGGGCTACACTGAACTGATTAGGCGCGGATCAAGCATTACCACAGCCTTCGAATAGCATTTCCCATCCAAGTAAAACTGATCTCAAGAGTGGCAGACCGATTTCATATCAAAAATTGTTTCGTATCCACTGATTGGAAAATGCAACCTTCAACATGATAAATATTTCGATTCTTTCTTCCTTTCGTTCCATAAAACCTGTAACAAAATATTTCATTGACGTTGTAGTGAGGAGTGGAAAATGAGAAAACCACTTTCCTCAATAGTATCGTCTAAGCATTTGAAGAAGACCAACAATTAAGTCGAGTGCGACCATGGTATTTATGAATAATCTAAAATGCACATCTAATATATAATTCCTGCTCGATCTTTGATAAATAATACCATTTGCCGTTAAATGATAGAGATCCTCACATTTATTTACAAATGTAAACCGTGCACTAGTAGATGTCTTCGCAGAAACTAAAGAACTATTTTCCCAGTCGTTCCCTGCTGTTGTTTAGGTCTATCTATCAAAACAGCTTTCCACCCCAACGGAAGAGACTTCATCAACAGTAGTTCATAGCTTATGAGAAGAAAATAGTGTACAATAAAAAGTGACTTATATAAATTACTGTGAAATATTAGTCATTTAAGCAAAATGAATAAAAGGACTCCAGAAAATGTTTTACTGTTTCGCATAAGTAAGACTATGACAGTTTATGAGCTCAGTGGTATTTACATGTCATTAATTTAACACAGCATTTAGTAATAAAGAATATTTTCAAATTCTACTTCTGGATAAACGATACCCATTCGTCGATAAGTGCTTCCGAAGTTTTCCACACATGATCGCAAATTTCATCATTTAATGCTTGGGAGTTACATCTGCGTGGCCGACACTCAGAATAAAATGCACCAGGAATGAGATTGTTATCAAGAGCACAAAATACTGTTGCCTGAGCACCTTCACGGGATGTTTTTGTCAACCATCGAAATAAATAGTAGACTAGAAACTAAAATTAAAACAAATCTTAGTCGAACAGTAAAAGCTAATTAGTTTACAAATGCGCGTTAATACATTATAAATTCTCTCAAACACATGCATTTCATCACATATTAATCAGTAAAATCGACGTAAACAGCTTCACTGTAACAGTTCCGAAATACTGTCTTACATTCTACGATAAACAGGTAGATGCATGCACACGAGTACGCAGAAACAAATTGACCACTTATTTACCTTTCAACAACTCCATTTATATTACTATTTATTCAAACACATAAATATTGTTACAAATGGCGACCAAAGTAGATGTGCGTTACACAGATAAGACAATAAGATTGTGAAGTAAAAGAAGGAGAGGAAGTATGACCAATTAAGTAAATGGCAGTAGAGGAGAATAAATTATGATGGGAGAGACGGATCAATTTAACAGATCACAATTAGAACGAATTCTTTTAGGTGACGAAGTTCCTCTCACATTTTGAAGTATAAAAGGAAATTACAGCAAGATCACCGCTGATTCCTGTTATGGCTCATATATGATAACGTATTAACACAAAGACGGCCCAGATTGACATAAACCACTTTGAGTTCTAATATTTGTAGATTTATCTCATCAGCCACACTACCACCAACGCCCAAACACCCTTAAAGGTTCATTACAAACAGTGAGTGTGGGAACAGGTTTTTGCTAGTCTTCCAAAAGCACTTTGTATCTTAAAGGCCCACACACATTCCATACCTAAGAACATTGATCGTCAACTGATTAAGTGCGATTTGAATAATTGGGGTATTATCGTACCACCACGACATTTGTTTTAGGAGTTGTGATGCACGATAGTCGATAATGTTGATGAGACCTGGAAGGTTCTGTTTCAAACATAAGAAATAACAGTGTTCAGATGAAATTATACGGTTTTCCGTATCATTTAGGAATATTACTGTTGTCTAGCATTACATAAAAGAAACGGGGTATTCGGTGGAACTGGTTACTTAGGTTGTAGTTGCGCGAGCATTTTGGATTTACAAAGAGACCAGTAGCTTGAACTCAATCAAAGTGTCTATTCCACAAATTTTGAGCATTCCTGAAAACACTCAAAACTATGAGGAAGTAGGAATTCCCTTTCTATTCAACGTTGTTTGTAAAACATTCGTCGAAAGAATTCCGATTCAAGTCTTCAATTTGTATAAATTTCACTAACAAACTCATTACTTAATCCTTGTCTAGTGGTGATCACTTCGTCATCTTTTCATTCTTTGGTAACCACATTTATTTACTATTGCTGTGCTAACTGTACGGACAGAGTTGAAGCCAACGTCATCATCAGCTGTTTGGTAGTAATCTTCGTCAGGTTTCGCAACATCACAGTTTAGTTCACAGTGGAGATCAGTTAACTAAACCTCAAAAGAGAGTTTGTTTGAGATTGTTGCCGTAAATATGGAATACTTATGTAATAAACATTCGGGTCAACATAAACAGGCATCACTTAAACACACACGGTATGTATAAACAAGGAGTTCGCTTTATAATCAAAGGAAAAACACTGGATATAACACATAATACAAACATCAACTCACATATTCCCCTTTGCATGAACGAAAAATGGATGTTCTCACTAAGCCTGGATGAACGCTGACTGAAATAATTCTATCTCCAGACCAACGTCTACAAATTTCACGTGCATGAATCACATTTAACAGCTTACTAATAGCATAACCAGAGCCTACACCTGACAAGAATCCGCTATTCGGGTGTAATTTAGCAAGCCAATGTAACAAAGATGACAGAATGATTACACGACAAGGTTTCCCATCAGATGCACGCAAACACGGCTTTAATAATTTAGTGAGCAGAAAATGACCCAAATGATTCACTTTCAAGTGTTTCTCAATTCCAAGCTCATCGTAAATCTTCTCTGGAAAATCTGCCCCAGCATTATTAATTAAGATGGAAATTGATTTTTCTCTACTAATGATACGATTCGCAAACTCTCGAATAGATTTTGGCGACTCCAGATCCAACTCTTCACAAATAAGCTATTGAAAACGAGATAATAATTACAAGGTTTACTCATGTCTCAATAACAATCTTTCAACAAACAACTTTAAACAACAAATAACATCGACTAAATAAAACCTAGGGAGTCACTGACGATGGTAGTGGAGCGGTGAAATAGTGGTTTAAGCACTCGAATTACAGACAATACATAACAGGTTTGGATCCTGCTCCATCTAATTCCATCTGGGCATGATAATCATGAGTAAAAAAGCATCACGTTAGTAAAACAATCACAATTAACATACTTGATCTGGTTCCAGATGAACACTCAATACTGATGGCTTCTCATTACAGTTTCTAGTCAGAAGCTCCTGTCGAGCCAACTCGCACTTCCTTAGATCTCTGCATGCCATTATAACGCGGGCCCCACGGCGAGCCAACTCATCCACCCTTTCTAATCCAATACCAGTATTGCATCCCGTAACAATAACTGTTTTACCATCCAAACGATCTTCAAGAGTACACTTACAATGACCGAAGTATTTTCTCTTAATGATATACAATGTACTAACAGCAATAACAATCCATATGTACGGACAAAGGAAACATACAGAAACATAGGAGAACAACTGATCCATCCTCAAATTTGTTCTTAAAACTGAAACAGAAGTTCAATTATCTATATTCACTTTCAAACATGTAACGTAAACATAGTTTATATAACAAACAGACAGGTTTCGAGAATACTTGGACTGATTGCTCGATTGTCGTGTCTATGTTAAATGATTCAAACTCCTAGATTGGTCGCCGTCAATTCAAGCCCCGTGTCACCTAGACGAGATATTTGTCTGCCAGCTAAAGAACCAGCTTAACCCATAGCACTTCTTTGTGCTGCTTAATTGGTGTGAGACGTGGTCACCAAGAACAGAGGATATTTCTAGATTACTAGTAATTGACCACAGATGTCTTCGAAGCACCTATGATGTATTTTGGGATAACTGACTGAGAAATCGTGGGGTTATGTGTAGGCTACCAGGGAAGATGGTAAACCCATCGATGATGTAGTGAAATTCCACAGATTGAGGTGATTGCAACACACTTTACGTATACCTAACTACCACCTACCACGGTGAGTGATTTTATCTGACGCAAGAGTAGACTGAGAGAAAGCTAAGGCCCACTACAAGACGTAGCACACTTCTATGAAGTCATTGACAAGCGGACTGAGTTATGTTGAAGGGTTTAGGATACTTGGTTAGAATCTATGCGATCACTATGTTAATGTAGTATGGTGACTCGAACCAAGCGCCTTGCTTTCATGAAATATGTTATCGATATTGGTAAAGGCGATATCTTTTTCAAAATATGAAGCTTCTAATCCTCCTCTACGTTTCTGGCCTCTGTACCTGCTATCAGTCTGGAGTTTTCGAAATCGAGTTTCCCATGGTCAAGAAATTGAGTTTGACAAGTATCTCTGAGTGTAAGTGCACCCTATCTAGTAGAGTTTGTCTGTACGCCTAGCTCGTCTCAATTTATTCTCGCTTTACAGTACTCAACATTCGGACAGTTGGATATCAGATTCAGCAGCCGAATCTGATATCCATCAGGCGAGTCTGGCGATGTTTGTATATGCACTCCTCACAGGGCGACATCAGAAACATACTGCGGCCTTAGTTGATTAAGTAGGCCTTTTATGTCTAATAGACTTCTCTAACGAGGTTACTCGCATACATGTCTAAAAGAAACTAGTGGTTATGCTATATTTCGATATTAAGAAAGCCTTTAATAAAGTACTTCATAACCTCCTAACAACCAGACTTCAGTCAACTGGAATTACAAACACCCTATTGCAATAGATACCCATTAAATAAGATTAACTCTACAACATCTACACCTCGACCAATAACCAGTTATGTTGTGCAGGGTAGTGTCTTGGGTCCATTGCTCTTTACAATCTACATGCAAGTACTTTAGCACAGGTAGTACCTACCTCTACGCTGATGACCTAAAAGTCATCTAGAAAACTGACATTTGCGATGTACGCAGTACTAAGCAAACAATCCAACACCAACTCATCATGGTAGACGACTGTTGCAAACGCTGGAGGTTAGAGCTCAACACAGAGAAATGCGGCTGGTTATGCATGGGAGACACGTCTCTTAAAATAAAACAAGCATTTAAAAACGACACACTGCCTAGACTGGCATCAGTAACTGGCCTAGGCGTATGTTACTCACACAATCTTAACTTCTTTGAACATGTCTCAACTAAAGCATCTAAAATGAGGAAATTGCTTGGCTTCACTCTTCGTAATTTCGCTCAAAATGAATCTAAAATCATTCCTTATGTAATCTGTGTAAGACCTTTCGTTGAATACTGTTCGTTCATATTTTCCAACCTACGCCCACCTGATATATATGCTGAGATTGGATCTGGTGTGCAACGTGAACACGATGACACTTTGGAAAATATTCTAATGACTACTCAGTATACCTGAAGGAATGAACTGATATTCACTTTTATAGATTACATATATTTAACATGCATACTGTGAACCAATAAATGTGGTAATTTGTAGATCATGCTTGTAAACATGGCGTGTACCTGCCCTTGCAGAAATATATTATATCTATTAACCAATGTTGTCCCAAAAACCAGTTTTGAGCCTGTAGAATTATGGTCTACTATGATATTAGTACTGGTCTAATAATAGACCTAATCCTAAATTTGTAGATTCGTCATGATATAACTGCCTAATCTATAAGATCTTACGTGGAAGTCACACCATCGACTACGCCAACTCACTGTATCGTATCAATTACCAATACATGATGAAGAACAAGGTTAGGTTAGAGAAGGAACAATATATTTAATATGAATAGAGACCACGCCTGCATGGCCGAGCCATGCCACTCGATCAACTCCAGTCCATTCAATTCATTGTTCGCGCCTTCTCCATTGTTAGGTATTTATCCGCGTTAAATATTGAATATCTATTTTCTGAGTAGTCTCGTGTTCACAGCTTTGTGGTTTGTGTGGCTATTGTCCAATGCCACTACACTACTCTCCCACCAGAATCAACGTGATGTTGGTTCGATACCAAATTGGATGGGATCGTCGTGCGCCGAAGGTTACCAAGACTAGGAAGAATCCCCCGGGTAATGATAAGCTGAAAGATAATTCAAAAAGAAGGCGGCAGCATCTGGTCGGGAAATACATGTAATAATTTTTTTTTTAAAAAAAATCTGCCTTCATGCTTAACACACTTAAAATGACAATTTGGGTGAAGATTATTTGAGCTATAAAAAAAATGGGATTACAGTAATAATGATAAAACAATGCGTGTTAATAGCCGTTGGGTAATAATTTAACGTATAGGTAGTAAGTATTTTGTGTTTAGAAATATTAAAGTAATCAATATTGTAGAAATGTTAATATTGGTATTAGTTTTGGTTTAGATTATGAAATCAATTTACAATTATGCCGGTAAGTTGTCCATAAGAGTTGAATTCTAATTGCATCTGTATTAGTAGGCTAACTGAAGGAACAAAAGTATACCGTGGAGAAGAATTCCAACTAGTGTTCCAGTTAGTTTGATACGGTTTATTTAGTTACGGGGAGATTTTCTCAACCTCATTTTTACTTGACCGTGATAGAATTTAGTAATACTACTAATACACATGAATGGTTATCAAAACAAAATTTAAATACGTGAGTGATGATTATATGAATTTTGGACAGATAGCTAGGAACAAATCGTTAAACATGAGTGTATTCGTAAGAGACATGCTATAGACTCAATGTTCTGATCTGTGACAGACTATTTATTTATATTTATACTTGCTGGCTGATTGGGCATACAAGTTGGTTGCAAGTATGCAGTTTATCATAAGGCGGAATACGATGTAATCGAGATATAGTGGTTATAAGTTATTAAAATCAGTTAGGCCTGTGTCATATTACGAAGTGATGTGGTGCTGCAAGATGTATTTAGCTAAATAAGTTTTTACAAGCTGATTAATAGTGAGCGATGCGCATGTGATTATCAGGGAGAACATAAGTTGTAACCAGGGGGAGTACACTCCCAACTCATGTCTATGATAATGGCTTGAACCTTAGTCAGTGTTGGGGTAAATTCGACATTGATGTTTTCAGTTTGCAGGAGATTTGCTCGACTGCTTATACTGATTATTTGCATGCATGATTGTGTCGCTAAACCATCAATTAGACTGACAAGGTTTTGAGATATTTACTGAATGAGCAACTGATAGAGAAACCTACTGTAATCATCTGTGATGGATGAAGATACCAAGAAAGCAACACCATTTAATGGTAATTATAAGTCAATTTGTTGACCGATTTCGTTAATAGTTTCATTAATTTCATCAGTCATATTACGTGATTGTCAAGTTATGACAATGCTTTATGACGATATCCTGAAACTATTAAATTTAACTAGTTATAGTGTTGATTGAGGTTTAGTCAGTGGAAAAATAGGTATTGTTGATTTAGGTGATTCGAAATTATCAGAAATTTATAACGTTAGAGAATCCGAGACACCTAATTTAATTATAAATTGCAATTCAGAAATATTCGTTTAGTGTTAATTCTAGTAGGCTACGGAGTTTTGATTTAAAACGTTTGTTTAGCCAACAGCTACCTGAGGATTTAGTTATTTTACTAGTGCAGTTAATAGTACCTAAATTTTTAATCTTATTATCTAAAGTATGTTCGCATTTTAGGCTGCTAATATGATAAACCAATCCATAAACCCAAATACGAATAGCAACAACGACTATGATGGGTTTATTGATAAATGTTAAAGGCGATTCGGATGATTCCTAAATTTAGAAGACATGAAGATATAGTGTAACGTATGTGCGGGCCAGGTTAACATGCAGGTTGTTGACGTATATGACGATTTAAAAATAATGAACATGACCAGAAAATAATTTTAAAGTTAAGACTGCTTATGAAACTTCAGGCAGGAATATGGCGCGTTATAAACATTACATAAGAAGTTAGTGCATTTAGCCTAGGGACACTTAGAAATATGTGGCAAAAGCAACTGGAAAGCATATACATGTTAAGTACAAAAAATCATTAAGTAAAATAGTTGAACTCGCCTGGATTATTTTTGAAAACTAGATTATTCAGTGGACGACATATATAACGCCATTCGTGAGTAGTAGTGATCGAAAAGCATCCAGAAAAAAACATGCAGTATGGCAATCACTTCCAGGGTGCTTGATGCTGTTGACGTTTTTGCCACTCGCTTGGATCAGAACAATCGAATGAATCCAGATAATTGTGTGGTTGTCATTGAACGAACCATCGTATTTATTTGGAGAAGTGTCATCCTTGTTGTTTGGCAATGGAACTCGAGAATATGAAATTAGGCAGGCAAAGGTCGGAAGAAAAGATATTACAGGATAGTGCATAGTTTAAAACAGGATGAGGAGTTAAGTGAAGGAACACTGAGAATTAGATCCAGATAAATATTTAGTCCTTGATTGCAGTGCTAGTCAATGTATATTTACGCTATTTACAGATCATATTTGCTAGAGCTTGATGTTTAAACAAGTCTATGTCGCTGAAGCAGGTAAATGCTATTAAAGCTTGTTAACGAACCATCAGA